TTAGAAAGTTGATACTCTGCCTCCTCAACTCTATTGTTACTCTAGGGGGAAGGGTAAGAGGCTTAACCAGAAGGAAACCCTGTTTAAGGTCCCCAAGATTCCCCAAATTTGTCTCAAACTATTATCAAGTATTTCAAGGTCAAGTGTCTTGTTTTACCCCATAAAGTCAAAGCAGGTTTCTGCCCACGCAAGCCCTCAGTGTGTACCAAGATTGATAAACCCAAGTGCCTGCAAGATAATGATTGCCCAGTGTCAGAAAAGTGCTGTTCACGTTGTGGACTGAAGTGCCTGGAACCCCAAAAGTGAATAGTAAGTGGAAAATATTATCATCAAAGTGATTAACCATGAGTAGCATAATAAGTTATCAATTTTGTCTTGTATTCAACTACTTTGCCAAATTGTCTTAAGTGTAACAATATTTAATGAGGTTACTTTGATTTTATATATAATCATATCATCTGAAAATGATGATAAATTTGACTCTTCTTTTTTCCAACTTCGTGACTTACTTTGTTTTCTTGTCTTCTTATATTATGCAGAACCTCTGAAATAATGTTGAAAATAAAGGCAATGACATCTATCCCTGTCTAGTTCTTTATTTTAAAATCAATGTCTCCTGCTGTATAAAATGACATTTGTTATTGGGTTTGGTGATAAATAGGTTTTATCTCACTTGGGTTGTTTCCTTTTTATTCATTTACAACTGCTATTGGAAATTACTGCTGGATTTTTATCAAATACCTTTTAAGCATCTAGTCATGTAATGATTTTTCTCTTCTAATTTGTTGGTATAATAACTTATTTTATTAAATTTTCATATGTTGAACCATCCTTGCATTCCTGGAATGACTTTAATCATATTGAGGGTATATTTGTATTAATACACTGTTGGTTCTTTTAGCAAATAGTTTATTTAGAATTTTCACATCTATAGTCAAAAGGAAAATAGATCTATGATATTTATTTTGCTATTTGAGTCATACTACCTTCAAAAAACTAGTATGGGAAACTTACCTATTTTTCCTATGATCTGTAATATTTTTAATAATGTATCAATTCTCTGTTCTTTGAAGGCTAGAAAAAATTCAGCTCCAAAAGCATCTTTTTTTTTCTTCTATAATGGTATATTTTTACTAATTTTTCTGTATTTCATCTTATAGTCTGTACAGGCTCTCTACCTCCTCTTCTGTAAATTTTAGTCTTTTATATTTTGCTAAAATTGATCTATTTTCTATTTTCAAATGTATTACTTTAGAGTAGTATAAATTATTCTCTATATAATTCTTTTCAGATATTTGACTTTGGTTAATGTCTTCATTCATACATCATGTTTCCACAACCCCGCCACCTATCCACCAACCATTTTGATCCATTTACTCACCTATCCATCCATTCACCTAGCCCTCCATTGACATACCTTTTAACCCATCTATCTTCCCACCCATCCTTTCACCCATATATCCACCCACTTACCCTACTCACTCATCTTCCTTCTACCCATTGAGCTGCTCATTTTTTGTGTGTGTGTGAGGAAGATCAGCCCTGAACTAACATCCATGCCAATCCTCCTCTTTTTTTGCTGAGGAAGACCGGCCCTGGGCTAACATCTGTGTCCATCTTCCTCCACTTTTTTATATGGGATACCACCACAGCATGGCTTCACAAGCGGTGCATCGGTGCGTGCCCGGGATCCGAACCTAGGCCGCCAGCAGCAGAGCGCGCACACTTAACTGCTATGCCACGGGGCTGGCCCCGAGCTGCTCATTTTATATCCAGCCTTTCTGCCATCTACCTGTTATTTATCTACCATCTTTCATACACACATTCCTTCATACTTGTTAACATACTTCTCCATTATTTCTACACCCACCTCCCCTCCATCCACCTGCCAATCCACTCATCTACCTTCCATTCAAACAGCTTCATCTCATCAGTTCATCTCATCACTAACCTATCCATCATCTCATCACTAACCTATCCATCCTTAAGTTCAATCCAACCCACTTCTTCACCTAGCCCGTTTATTTACCCATCTATATCCATGCATGTACCCAAATATCCATGCTATGTTCACTCATCCTTCTTCCTACTCATCCAACCATATTCCCATTCATCACATTATGAGCCATGCATCCATTCACGTATCTATCTATCAATTCCCCACCTACATTGCTCATCCAGCAGAATGTACAGAGTGTTTATTTTAGGCCTATTCATCTTCTAAGCACTAGATTCTAGACACATGCCTATTCAACAGAGCTCAGAGTTTATTTGGGGAAACAGACACAAAACTGAGTAATACAGTTAGAGGCACAGGGAACAACACAGAAAGCCAGTGATAGGAAGTCACAGCATGTGACAGGTCTTGATCTAATGAAAAAGTAGGAATTTCTAGGTAGAGGCCATATACCTTGTTGCCCTTTGGAATCCCTCATTCTGAGCACAGAGAACAGAAGAGTGGCTGAGGCAGAGGTAAGGCACCATTACCATCAATGAGAAGAGATAAAGGAAGGAGGGACAAAGACCCAGGTGGATCCTTACCCAGCCTTCTCCAAGAAATTAGGTGAGGGAAGGGGCCAAAAATGTCATTCATCCCAGCCCCAAAGACGTAAATTTCATCTCACCTGCTTGGAAACTGAGACCCTTGTGTGGGGCTGCAAATTCGGCAAGACAGAATGGGATAGAACAACCAGAAATTCTAAATTTTCATTTACTATAAAGAAAATTTAGAGAATAATTCAGCCTTATTTGGGGGTCCTGGGAACCATTTGGACATTTACAGGTTCTATGGCTCTTTAACCTCTGTCTCCACTAAGACATCACCTTCATCCCCTTTGGACTCACTATTCCTCTCTACCTTCAACTTCATAGTAAAACATTATATCCACAGCAATAACAGAAGATTCCCTAGTGACCTCTGGCAAGAATTGAGACACTCAGCTTGGTCTTAACTTTATCTCTGACACTCACTTGCTGGGTGACATTGAGCCAGCATCTTCACCTCTCTGGGCCTTATGCTCCTTATCTGTAAGTTGAGGAAATGGGACTTGATGGGCCCTCAGAATACTTCCACCTGGTATTTCAACTTTTCACTCTCTCTGGGGCTGAGTTTGGGAATGTGGATAGTAGAGTAAGAGGAGCAGCACTGCTTGAGACATTTTGGTTGTTCATTAGCAATTCTAGTCCCTGGTCTCTTTGTGGGATCTACTGAAATTGTGAAGTTGGCGGGATGGGATTCTGTAATGTAAGAGCCTGACATTAAGCTTTTTTATTGTAATGTAAGTGTTTGACATTAAGCTTTTGATTGCTGAGGCATCAAGCATCAATTTTAAAGACAACCACCTTGAATAAGCATATTGCCAGCTGTATGACATAGCTACTAGCAAAACAACTAGATAAGGGACCAGGCTGCCCTCAGCCATGAAGTTCCCTTCTAAGAAAGCCCTGAGTAACCTAGATAACTTACTGCTTGAGTGGCCCTGTTTCTCCCTTCCCACGCCCTAATTTCTGCTTTTATGCTTTAAATTTGCCAATAAAGAGTGAACTCATGAAGCCCTAGACAACCCACCATTGGACCCTAATAAAGGCAGAGCCCCAGGTCTGTGGTTTCTCCCTCTCTGCCTGCAACCTCACTGTGTGGCCCTAGGGCCTACCATGTACCTTCCAGGACTTGTGAGTAATAAATCTTGTTCTTCAAAGTTCCCTGATGGTTTTTCCAAGGTGAATCCTGCAATCATATTAAGAACCACAAGGGCTGGTCCAGCTACAACATTGGCCCCAGTGGTGGTGGTGGGGGAAGTGTCTGTAGGGCTCACTATGAGTAAATATGGCCACGTGAGTGCCTCAGACATTCCTAGCAAAGAACATCACTACCAATAGGCTGAGACCCACACCACATATTCCCCATAGGAGCTCTGTCCGTGATCCTAAATTTCATGACAATGTAGGTCATTCACTGATGATAAAGCTGGCTTTGTCTGGCTTCTGTTCATCATGTGGGACAATTGGAGAACAAAGCTTGGCCCCAAACTGCAACACCTAGTTAGGGAAGGAAATAGGGACCCTACAGATGACATTTACTCTTTAAAGAGTGTCTCTCTCTCTCTACCAGGGCTGATTGACTGGCTGGTGTTGTGGATTCTGTGGTTGTAGGAAAGCTGCCAAGTACTGCAGCACTTTCTTTCCAACAGCCTCTCCACTAGTCCAGTTAGAATTAAGTAACTCTGCTGCATTGTTGACCTCTATTGAGTTGTAGTCTCTCAGGCAGGTCTCTTCATTTCACAATTCCTCTTCAGACAACAGGGAGTTTGCACCAGATGGTAGAAGCTCCCTACAAGCTCTGACATTCTCTCCTACTCTCAAAGCAATACAACCTTGACAAACTCTATCTGCAAACTTTACTATCAGCCTCCTTCCTCCCCCACACCCCACTCTGTGGCAACATATTTACTCTTCAGCCCTAGTCAAAGAATATGAGTGACCCAAAGAGAAAAGGGAGCAGGATGGGAGGAAAGTGTGGGAGAGGGAGAAAGGAACACAGAGACCATGGGAGACCCACAGAGAAAGAAAGACGTGGACACAGAGAGGCACAGAGAAACAAAGAGATACCAAGAGATCAATAGAGACTCATTATCAGAGACAAACAAAAGGGTGTGCAGATAAAATGGAAAGTGAATGGAGAACAAAGACACTCCACAACTCTCAAAGTTATCAAGAAGAGGACCCCTCATGGTGGCATTTACTCTTAAGGTAGCCTAGAAAGGGAGACAAACTTTGCCCACTCCCCCTGGTTGACCAGAGGGCCCAGCCCAACCCTGAGGGCTGAGGATCAGAAGCCATCCAGTAAGAGACCCTTCCCCAGGGCTGTAGGCTGTAGATGCCAGCTAGTCACATTGGTGCTCTCAGGAACTTGGCGTTCCCTGCAGGAAAGGGGGTGGCTGGCTTGACTCCAGTTCTCACATCCAAGATACTACTGAAGGAATAGGCTGGACAAAGGCAAACAGACATTTTCATGTTCTGGAACCACCAGACAGGCCAGCTTTTATTCAGAATGGAGTCTTCTGGACTTTTGAGAATCCTGGTGATATCCATCCTTCTAGTGAATGTCCAAGGACCTGGTCTGAGTGACTGGCTCTTTCCCAGTAAGTATTGGGGCCTCAACCCTTGCCCTGGAGAGAGGGAAGATTGCTGGGAGGAAGGAACTGTTCCTCAGACTTGAGTTGCTTACCACCATCTTAGCCCTGGTCCCAGGTTGGGAGAAGAGGGAGATATTTGGAATATTTCTTCCTATTTCTCTCTCTGTGGAAGAGTCCTTCCATGAATGCAAGAATCCAGACCGTACTTTCAGCCCTGTTGAAGTGGAGGGTCTGTCTGGAGGAGGGGGGAGTCACAGGATCTAGCATTTATGGGAGAGTCTATAGGAATCTGGGAAGCCTAAGGGACCTTCCCTTCACCCTACAACAAAAACAGCCCCCTTTCTTGAGACATCATCCGTATCAACTCCAGATTCTTTCAAATGTAGTTCTATAAAGTGTCCCTGCATCTCCAGGGGTTCCTTAACTTTGGGATAAAGGACAGTATCCAGAAGTTCCTTTGAACTTAAGACACTAATACTCCATGACTCTATAGTAATAATGATAACTGCTGCCATTTGCTGAACATTCAGAAAGTAGAGATTCAAAGAGAGGGACTTAAAGAGAGTCAGACTTGGTGAGTCCAAATTCTAGTTCCACCACGTAGTAGCCATGTAACCTTGGGCAAGGTACTTTAAACTCCATGTGCTTCAGTTTGCTCAACTGCAAAATGGCGATATTAATAGAACTTACCTTATAGAGCTATTTTATGGGGATTAAATGAAATAATTTAAAATGCTTAGAAGAGTGCTTGGCTTATGGTAAATACTTATAAATGTTAGTTACTATCACTGTGCACTAGTTACATGATTATAGCTTTCCACACTTTGTCTCATTTCTTCTTTACAACTCTATAAGTCTAAAACAGTTTTACAAACGAGGAAATCAAGGTTCAGAGAGGGTAAGTGGTAAATTAAGAGTTAGAATTTAAAAACCCGGCTGTCTGACGCCAGGGGAAGTGATATTAATCACCGCATAATAGCGCCCCCCAGAGGAACTCCCAAACACTGACTCCTCAACCAGGTCAAAATGACCTGATTAGTTTAGACTAGTGGCTTTCAACGGGTGATTTTGCCTCCCAGGGGACATTTGCAATATCTGGAGACAGTTTTGGTTGTGAGTGCTACTGGCATCTAGCGGGGAAAAGGCCAGGGGTGCAGCTAAATGTCCTACAGTGCACAGGACAGCCCTCCCCCTCCCATCAAATGATTATCTGGCCCAAATGTCACTAGTGCCAAGGTTGAGAAATCCTGCCTTAGTGGGGATGGGGCTAGAGGGTGGGACGAGGGATGAGGTAAGAAGGTAGAGAGTGAAAGTGGTCAGGAGGGAAGGTAGTGTAGGCAGTGCTGGGAAATACATGAGAGCACCCAGAGGAAAAAGACTCCTGGCGATGAGCAAAGTGAAAGCAAACTTCCCTAGCTCCCCAGAATTGCCTTGGGTCTGGAGAAGAGTGGGCACTGTGCCCTCCAACACTCGCGGTTGTAAGCCTATCCCTTCCCCAGGGAGATGCCCCAGGATCCGAGAGAAATGTGAATTCAAAGAAAGGGATGAATGTACGAAGGACAGTCAATGCCCGGACAACAAGAAGTGTTGCGTCTTCAGCTGTGGGAAAAAATGTTTAGACCTCCAACAAGGTAATATTTAGAGCCTCAGAATAACCAGCCTTCTACCTGTGCCCTCACCTTCAGCCCACCTGGGCTGGATTGTCCTTAGTTTGCTAAGGGCTAGTCTCTGAGAAAGATTGCTGGGCTTGGGAGACCTAGAATTTAGATTCATCACTGCCCCTAAGATGATATATGACATTAGGTAATATCTTCACCTTCTCTGGGCCTCGTTTTCCCCAAATAAAAGATGGGTGCAGGGGTGGGATTGAACTGGATAGTCTCTTGGCTGCTTTTCTTTATTTCTTTTATTCTTTTACTCTTATGGTTTTCTGAGTCCCCAGATGGCCCTTGTTGGCTTACCATATACCAACATTGTTGCTGCACATGGTAACTAAGCGATTCATGTTTCCCAGATTTTTGCTCCAGAGTGACCACCTCTCTGCCTATACAGATCCAACTTAGAACTAGGAAACCTCCCTTGACCACTCCAGACCAGAGGGTTTTTCCTTTGCTGCTGCAATCTTAATGCCATGCCCATCCCCCCGGGCTCCAAAAAGACTATCAAAGATTCTTCATTCATTCATTTAACAAACCTTTATCATATGTCTTTGAGACTCATCATAGGATTTGACCAGTGTGGTCAGGGAAGCGGAGGAAGCCTTCCCTGAGAAAGCAAACCTGAAGTTGAGTTCAGAAGGATGGGTAGTAAATTTAGGCAAAAAGTGGTTGGAAGGGCTTTCCAGGCACAGGGAATAGCATGTACAAGGCTCAATGGTGGCACCTAGGAAGGCCAGAGAGCAAGAGTGAGCATGAGCATGGTACAAGGGAAGAAGATCCTAGTAGGTAGAGTCTGGCGAGCTAGAGTCTCACCTTGATCCTAAGAGCAATGGAAATCCATTGGAGTGGATGGCGACAGGATCAGATTTTTAATATGCCTATGGAGGAGGAACGGAGTGTCTTACAGGACTTCGAGATGACAGAAAACGGTAGCTTGGGCTAGATAGGTGGCTGGGGATGCAGAAGAGTGGAATGTGTTTGAAACTCATTTAAGAAGTAAAATAATCAGAACTTGACAATGGAGCAGAGTGGGCAGGCAGGAGGGTGGTAAGTTGTTCATTTGCCTGCAGGTGAGGTATTCCTGAATCCAGCCTTCCTGAGTTCAAATCTTAGCTTCAGGTTTCACCAGCCTATTTATCTTGGGCAATTAGCACTATCCTTCACTGTGCCTCAGTTTCGTCAGACCAACGTTGAAGGTTATTTGGAGGATCAAATAAGCTGATGGACACGATGTGTTTAGAGACATGTCTGGCATATAATAGCCACGTGATACACGTTAACTTAACGTATTTGTCATTCTTGACTGGGAGCTCCCAAATAGCAGAGGCCATGCCTTTTCTTTGTCTCTTAAAGCATCTAGCATACAGCAGGTGCTCAACGAATGACTAACTCAATTCAGGTCAGGATGCATTTTGTTTTACCCTCAACCTTCTGTAAAATCCTATACTGTGCCAGACCACTTGCTAGGAATGGGGTTCCAAGATGAAATCAGACACAATCCCTGCTCATCAGAAGCTCACGGATGAGACCGAAGATGTAAACAAGTAATAAACATGCACACAAGATTCAGAGGCATGGTAGAAAAATGCAGGTTCGATTTAGGCAGCTGTGGGGGTATGGGATGTAGAGTGGAGTCAGAGACACCACAGAGGAGTTGATGTCTGAAAAAGGTTTTGAACAGAGAATAAGAGTGTCACTAATGAACAACAGTGGGGTGGGCAGAGGGAACATGGAGTGAAAGGTGTGGAGGTCTGGGATAGCACAGTGTGTTGAAGATGACGGGAGCATGTAGCTCAAAAGTGTACTGTGGTAGGAGAGGAGGCCAGAGCCACAAGCCGGAGCCAGATCATGAAGGACCTGTGGGTCATGGGAAGACCGTCATGAAGTCAATGTTTTAGCTGTGGAATGATATGATTAGCTTCATTTCTGATCCATCAGGTCCTTCTCTGTGGTGGGCAGCATGAAGGATTGATTGGAGGGGCCAGGGACAGAGGCAGGAAGGTCAATTCGAGGCTATCTCAAAGCCCAGGCATGAGACACTGAGGCTCAAATTAAAGAGAGTGGCAGAGAGGTGAGCGAGGAGGAGGTAAAAGTCAACAGGACTTAAATGTTTAGCTGTGGGGATTTACCCTCATGGAACTCATAGTTTAGTTCAGACCGATATTAGTTTGCTAAGGCTGCTGTGACAAAGTACCACAAACTGGATTCCTTCAACAGCAGAAATGTATTGTCCCAGAGTTCCGCAGGCTGGCAGTCCAAGATCAAGGTATTGGCAGGGTTGGTTGTTTCTCAGGTTGGGAGGGAGAACCTGTTCCATGCTTCTTGCCTAACTTCTGGTGATTTGTTGGCAATCTTTGGCATTTCTTGACTTATAGATCTCTGCCTTCATCTTCACGTGATATTCTCTGTGTGCGTGTGTATGTGTGTGTATGTGTGTGTGTTTACCTTTTTTATAAGGATACCAGTCATATTAGATTAGGGATGCACGCTACTCCAGTATGACTCATCTTAACTAATTACATCTGCCACAACTCTATTTCCAAATAGGGTCACATTCCAAGGTACTAATGGTTAGGACTTCAACATATAAATGAGATGGGGGAAGACGCATTGCAACGCATAACAGGACTGAAGCTAACTGCAGAGAGAAAAGAAGCTAGATTACTGGAAAAACTAGCCCCTGCCTTCCCCTCGTGAACTTGCCCTGTACTTATGATCCCATATTCTCTTTTCTTGGCAGAGTAAGTGGCTTATAGTTGATAATTTTCAAGGCACTTCCATATCTTTTATCCATTCAGGATATATTTATTGAGCAGCTACTCTCTGCCAGGCACCGTGCTAGAAGCTGCACATTCAGATACAATCAAGGAGCTCACAATTAGAGGGCCATGAGGGTGCTCTTACTTGCACATCAAGACAGTCCCGTGCCACAAGCAGGGTGGGATTTTGCACTCCCATTTTAAGAAGAGGAAGTTAAGGACAGGACAGGTAGCATGGGTTGATGTGCACACACTGAATTAGGAGCAGAGCCTTGAAACCAGAGTCTCCTCACTCTCAGGGGAGACAATGAGACCGGTGACCAGAAAGGAAGGGGGAGACTAATATTCTCCAGGGGTGCAGACATCCAAACAGCTCCACCCTGGGGTCTCTCTGCAAATGTGCACAATACATCAATGGAGCTGGGCTCCTAAGGTGTGATAAGGTGAAAGGAGCCTGTTCGGTCTCATCTATGGTGGTTGCCGGTGTGGGGGCAGGGGGGGCGGAAGGGGGCAGTAACAGTTGCTTCTTTTCAGGGTGGGCACTGTATCTTCTCGATTCTGGGGTCTCCCTGCAGACATATGCAATATGGCAAAAGAACCTGGCCCCTGCATGGGTTTTTTCCGTCGTTGGTGGTATGATAAGAAAAATAACACCTGCTCCAGCTTCATATATGGTGGCTGCCAAGGAAACAATAACAACTTCCAAACCAAGGCCATGTGCCAGAATATCTGCCCCAAAAAACGTGAGTCCCAGGGGCCCCAGTATCCCATTTTTGTCAGCACCACACTGGGAGGTCTGGGTGTTGGCTGGTCCATTCCAGGATGGCTGCATCCTTGGCAGACTAGGTGCTGATAGAACCAGCTCCCATCAGGAGGTAAGAATGTGCCTTGCAGAGGGTTGGACAATGGCTTTCTGGGAATTGAGATTGGGAAGGAATGTGGTCATGACTCAAAGGTGACATGCATGAGGGGTGGAGGGAGGATGCAGACGTGGTAAAATCTCAGAGACCAACTTCAGAGAGGTCACAGGACATCCAGCCTAGCGCTGGACTTGTTGAGCAACCAGCCCTTCCAGGCCATTAATTTTCTCATCACAACTCTTCGCCAGCAATCCACTCCCATCCACATCCCAAATTTTTCCTTTAAAGAGATTTATAGCTTCCCAAAGCAAACCCACTTCCTTTTAATCTCCTGTGAAAAGATGTACAAACATAACTTCAAGACTAGTTCCAAAGATAACCTGAGCCTGTGATGCTCAGCTGGTCCTGTCCTACATTCTCAACAGGCTTCATTCCCCGAATGCATAAGGATACACCGGAACAACTGCCAGGATTTGGATCATGAGCCAAGGCTCTGTCCGTGTGCCCGAGCGACGTTCCAGGTTGGCTTCCCCTGTTCCACTCTCAGCGGTCCAAGGCCTTACCTCTTCCCAAGACTGAACTCTGGGATCCACCTCCCCCTTCCTCCCTCTCAGCCTCTTTTCAGACATAATATCCTTGTTTTGATCCCATCTCTATGCCTCCTTCTTTTATGTACAACTTTCCCTGTTTTTACCTGTGTAGCTCCCAATTTTTCCCAATAAAGTATCTATTTAGTCCTGTACCTCTGAGGCTGAGTAGTTCACATCTGTTGGCACATTACACTCTGCAGAAATTAAAGGGACGTTGAGGCTTCTGGTGATACCATTAAAGGGAGTGAAGACAATCAGAGCTTTGAGAGTTGAGAGTTCCAGGGACATAGTTATCCTCTGTTTCTTCAAAAAATTGTAAGACCGTTTAAGACAAGAGCCCATGGGCATTGCCTTGGTTTGGAACCCCCCGAAACTGGTCCTAGGACAAGGGCATGGTTGAAAGTAGTTTATTTGGGAGATCTCCCAAGAAGCACAAGGTGGGGAGTGGGGTAAGTGATAAGGGAAGTTAATTATGAGCTGGTTACCACTGTGGGAAACTGCAGCTTAATCCCACTGGGGACCTTGTGAAACATGGCTTCAAATTTTCTTCATCCGTCTCCAGGGATGGGGAAGCTGAGGTGTTTATCCACTGACTCCCACCCCCTACTGGATGCTGGGGAGTATTAAATCCCTAGCTCTTCCAGACTGTTCCGCACGCAAGCTAAGCAAGCTCCCAGGAAGCCAGAGAAAACCCCCAGCAGGGAAGTAGAGACTGATGCTTGAAGTGGGAAGATATCAACGCGCACTGAATACTAATCAGCCATAAAAAGGAATGAAGGACTAATACATGACACACTGTGGATGGACCTCTAGAACATTATGCTAAGTGAAAGAAACCAGACATGAAAGATCATATACTGTATGATTCCATTTATGGAGAAATATCTAGAATAGGTAAATCCCTAGAGATAGAAAGTAGATTAGTGGTGGCCAGGGGCTAGAGTAGGCTGGGAGAAATAGAGAATGACTGCTAATGGGTATGGGGTTTTCTTTTAGAGTGATGAAAATGTTTTGGAACTAATTAAGGTGGTGGTTACACAGTGTTGTGGTGGTACTGAAAATCCACTGAACTATTCGCTTAAAAATGGTGAATTTTATATGATGTGAATTCCACCTCAATTTTTAAAAATGGATAGAAAAAAAAAATGCGCACTGGAACTCTCTCCTGCAGCTGCAGGTGAAATTAGAGGTAAGCTGAGGGTATGGCCTACTGATGCGTCAAGGCTTAAAATGGAAAGTTCAGTGGAACAATCTTCAGGCCCTACTGCTGCAGCTGGTTCTGAGGTCATAACTGACATTTATAGTTTCCCTCCTACATCACCTATTCCAAATTGTACCTGATGAGAGAAGCTCTCCATTAGCTCTCAAGTTCTCTCCTGCTTTCAAAGCACCATGACCTAGACAGATGCTCTCTGAAGATTTGGTACCACCTGGAATCAACCTGTCTCCTCCCGCACGTGCTACTCATGGCTATAGCTTTACTCTTTGACAATGGGTGGCCCAAAGAGGAGAAGGACAGAAGGAAATGAAGGGTAGGGAAGAAAGAGACCCAGACAGAAGGAGACTCACAGAAAAAGATGGGCACACAGTAAAATAAAGAGGTACAGAGAGAAGAAAAATAAACAGTGTGAGAAAAATAAGCAGACAGAAAAATAGACATGTCAGGAGGAGTAAGATTGGAAAGACAGAAGAGCACTGGGTACTCCCGTCCTCCAAACTCCCCCAGGAAAATGGAAGACCCTGGAATTGAACACCCCCTTCTGTTAAGGGAGTCTGGAAGCCCCAGACAAGCTTTGACCCTCTCCCTGGTTGACCAGAGAGCCAGAGAGCCTCAGCGAGCTGAAGATCAGGAGCCGCCTATCAAGAGCCCCTTCCCGCAGGGTTGGTGTTGTGAGTGCCAGCTAGTCCCACTGATGGTCTCAGGAACTTGGTGTTCCCCAGCGCAGGGAGTGTGGCTGGCTTGTCTCCAGTATGTGTGGCTCCTGGAGTGTTAGGCTCTGCCAGGGCAGCCAAAGTTCAGAAGCAGGAGCTGCTGAGGAGCGGTTCCTAGTTTTGGTGCCACCAGCCGGGCCAGTCCCTCTTAAAATGGGGCTCTTGGGACTTCTGCCAATCCTGGTGCCATTCATCCTCCTGGGGGGTGTCCAGGAACCTGGACTGGTTGAGGGATTCTTTCAAAGTAAGTATTGGGGACTCAGTCCTCCCAGGGGAGAAATGGAGCATGGCTGGGAGGAAGGAACAAGGAATTCTACAGATGAGGAATGTTTCCCCCCCCTCAGCCTGGGATCCTGAGTGGGAGAGAGGGGAGATATTTAGAGTCACTCTTTCAGCCCCTTTCCTCCCGGGAAGATGCCCTTGGTGAATGCAGGCACCTGAGTCTGTGGTAGCTGACTCCCCCCCCATCATTCTGAGAGGAAGTCTTCCTGGAAGTGCCTGGACCTGGAGCTCATTAAACTGACTAAGGGAACTGGGAAGCTTAAGGGCCTTTCCCACAAGAAAGGCCACTCCCCCTAGCACTACCTTTGTTGGCTTCCAAGTCTTCCTGTTACAGCCCCCAAAAGTCTTCCCCACCCACCCCCACAAGGGATCCTTGCCTTTGGGGTAAAGAATGGTGTCTGGAAGTCCTTCAGAATGCTGAGATGTGAAGACCCCCATAACTAGCAGCTAAAATATACTGAGCACTCAGACAACAGTGGAGCCACACATTGCAGGTTCAAATCTTGGCTCTACTCCTTAGTAGCCGTGTGACCGTGGGCAAGTTCACATAACCTCCCTGTCCTTCAGATTCCTCTGTCTATAAAATGTGAATATTGATAAGACTTACCTATAGAGATGTAATGAGGATTAAAATGAAAAGGACAAGTGTGCAGTCAGCACTTCATCAATATGAGTTATTGTTATTATGCCCCAGGTGGCTAGACAATGGCTTTACAAGCTTTGTCACACTAATCCTCAAAACAACCCTATAGGCAAAGAGAGAATCAAGGTTCAGAGATGGTGCCTCCCATACAAGGGTTGCACAGAATTCAAAAGCCAAGCCATCTGACTCCAGAAATGGAGATCTCAGTCACTGAGAGCTACAGCCACCCCCCCTCCCCCAGAAGGGAACATCCAAATACAGGAAGGCCAAGTGTCCAGAATAGTCCTGGTGCAGAGTGTCCTTCTTCCTGAGACCTTATGGGGGGTGCGGGTTGGGGTAGGGCTGGGTTTAGGGATTAGATGGAGAGTTGTTATGGGGTTGGGGATGGGGGCAGCTGTGTGAAAATCCTGAGCACCCTGAAGGTCACTACCTTCTGGGAACAGTGATGTGAAAACAAGCTTCCCTAACTCTGCGGTGGTGCCCTGGGCTTAGGATGGGAGGGCTGTGTTCTCTTCAGGGTCCCTTCTTCTCCTCCCTCAGGGATATGTCCCAGAATCAGAGTAAAATGTGAAATTGAAGAAATGAACCAATGTGCGAAGAGCAGAGATTGCCCAGAGAAGATGAAGTGTTGCAGATTTAACTGTGGAAAGAAATGTGTAGACGTCAGCCAAGGTAACTCAAAAATCCCCTGAACTATCCAATGCCCTCCCCCCGCTTTCTGCCCTTCTGCACTGGGTTGCCGGCCCCCTCCCTTGGTTCACTGACGGCTGGTCTCTGACCAAGAGTTGGGTGCATCTTCTACTTGACACAGATTCTATCAGTGCTGGACTGGGGTGGGTATTGGGAGACATGGGTTTTATTTCAGTTCTGCCCTTACTTGGGTATGTGATATGGGTAACATAACTTTTATTTTCTATGGGCCTTAGTTTCACCATCTGTAAGAAAGATGAGGGTGTTGGACCACATCGTCTCTTGGCTACTCTTCTGTGATTCTCTGAGATGCCGAGTAGCCACTGAAGTCTCATCAAATGCCAACATGGTGGCAGGTGATATGTTAGCTATAAAAGACAGGTATACAATATGTATTTCCTGTTTTTTTCCAGGCCTCTCTGTCTATATAAATCCAGGAGGCCTTCTCTAGCCACCTTTGACCTCCTATACTCTTTCCTCTTATTTGCCCATATCATTGTTCTAAAAAAGACCACCAAGGACTATTCACCCATTTATTCATTCAACAAGTATTTACTCGTGTGCCTGACACCTGTGATGGGCTCCACTTGCTCAGTGTATCCAGGGAGGACAGGAAAGGTATTCCTGGGAAAGGAATCCATGATTTAAGATCTGAAAGATGGGTAGTAGGTAAGCAAAAATTGAGAGGAAGAGCTTTCCAGGCACAGGTAATAGCCTGTGCAAGGGCCCTGTGTGAGAAGGGAGCATGCTCAGGCCTAGAAAGGCCAGAGAACAGAGAGTGAGAATGAGCACGGTAAGAGATGAGAAAGACAAAGCTGGACTAGGTAGAGAAGGTTCTGGTAATGCAGGGCCTTGCCAGCTAGATTAAGGGATCTGGTCTTGGTCTTAAATGTACCAGACTATCTCCATTCAAATCCCTTATCATCTATGTGACCTTAAGGAAGTTACTTAGCCTCTCTGAGCCTCAGTTTCCTCTGCAAAATGAGGACAGTAAGGGGACCTACCTCAGAAGATTATGTGTCAGTATATGTCAGGTGCTAAGAACAGTGCCTGACAATTTCATAAATGCTATCATTATTGTGCTTCAGAGTATGAGGTTCTAAAAAACTCTCTTTGTACCTCATAGACTGTGCACAAAACAGTTGCTCAATAAATGCTCCTTGAAGTTCAAGATACGTTTGATTTTTTATTGTGAGCATTCCTGAAGCATGTGCTCAGTGCCGAATCATCTGCTAGGAACTGGTATACCAAGATGACCAAAGGCACAAACCTCACATTCTCGGGGAGGATTCAGAAAATATGAACAAATAATTACACAGAAGTAATAAATGTGTGTGCAAAATTGAGAGGCAATTTAAAAAAAGCAAGGAGTGAAGAATGGAGCCAGGAAAGACATCAGGAAAAGAGGAGTCTGATGTCTGGGAAGGGTTTTGAAGAATGAGCAGGAATGTACCCAGTGAGCAAGACAGGGATGGACATTCCAGGCATGTGCAAAGGCATGGAGATGTGTTAGGGCATGATATCTTTAGAGCATTCATGCCTGCATTTGCACATGCCTGGAATGCTCTCTAGGGAGGCAGGCACCCAAACAGCTCTCCTCCACAATCTCTCCACAGACATGTGCAGTATGCCACAGAAAACTGGCCCCTGCATGGCCTACCTTCCACGCTGGTGGTATGATAAGAAAACTGAGAAGTGCTACAAATTCATCTATGGTGGTTGCCTAGGGAATAATAACAACTTCCAATCTGAAGCTATCTGCCAGGTCATCTGCCAAAGAAAATGTAAGTCTCGGGGGTCCCAGTCTCCCAAGCTCACCTGGGCCATACTGGAGGGCTTGGGTGTTGGCTGGCCCATTCCAGGAGCTTGACAGACCTGGGGCTGACAGAACCAGGCCAATCAGGTGGTAAGAATGCACCTCGCAGAGGGTAAGTAGAGGATGTTTTGGGAAAGAGCAGGTAGGAAGTAGGAGTCAAAGTTGGCAAATATGAGATGAACAGGGGTTACAGAGAGAGGAAGCAGAGGTCGTGGAGTGTCCAAGATCAAGTCAGAAGAAGGCCCAGTCGGGCTGGCCCGGTGGCACAAGCGGTTAAGTGCACACGCTCTGCTTTGGTGGCCCGGGGTTCGCAGGCCCGGATCCCGGGCGTGCACCGAGGCCCCGCTTGTCAAGCCATGCTGTGGCGGCATCCCATATAAAGCAGAGGAAGATGGGCACGGGTGTTAGCTCAGGGCCAATCTTCCTCAACAAAAAAAGAGGAGGATTGGCATCGGATGTTAGCTCAGGGCTAATCTTCCTCACACAAAAAAAAAAAGAAGAAGAAGAAGAAGGCCTAGTGAACCAGTCCAGTGCTGGGCACCATGCTCCACCAATCCCTCCAGGCCTTTCCTTCTCACCAAACCTCATCACCAATTCTCTTCCTTTTCCTTTTGAAGGTGATGATAGCCAGGACAACCACGTGCTTTATTCACCAAAGGGGATGCCATTAATTATTACTTTGGGACGAGAGGCATAAACTTGGACTCCACTGGAAAAATCAGAATACATGATCACTCTATGAGCCCCAAAAGTCACTCCACTTCTGTTTTCTCTTCCTGTGAAGAGATGTAAAAACTATCCCATCTCCTTTTTCCCGTTAATTGCAAGATTTTGTTCCTAAGGTGAGCAGCGCCCAAGCATCTTACCCTTTTCTATCCTGCTATCTCACAGACTCAGCTCCCTGGCTGGGATAAAGAGAACTGGAACAACCTCCAGGATTTGGCTTATAATCCAGGGCTCTCTCCGTGTGTGCCTGACCAAGGCTCCATATTGGCTTCCACTGGCCAAATCTCAACTGCCAAGACGTTGGCTGTTTCAAAAGCTGAATCCCAGGATTTTCTGACTCCCTTTCCTCCAGCTCAGCTTCTCTTCAAACATAATGCCCTTCGCCCTTTGACCCCTTCTCAGTGTGTTACTTTATCTCTTTAACTTTCAGGGCCCCCATTTATCCTTTGGAAGCCTCCAGTTTCCCCTAATAAAGTGTTCTGTGAGGTCTGATATCTCTGAGGCTGAATAATTCACATCTGCTCCCTCTCTGCAGTTTTTGGAGAACAAGAAGTCATTGGCTCTTCCAATGACACCAAAAGATGGAGAAAGGGGTATGAAAATCCTGCAAATTGAGAACTCTGGTGACATTGTTGCCCTGGTAAAATTGTCATAAGATGCTTAAGAATGGAACCAGAGCAGATCTAGGTTTTGTATGGTCTAAAGCTTATGAAGTTAGAGGGTTCCTTTAAAAAATGAATACAAATTAAATTAAAAAGTGAATATTATTTCAAATGAGAAAAGAATTGCAACCAATTGCAAATTTAGAAAGCTAACAAATACCACAAATTGCACAAAACCCATATAAATTAATTATTAATTAAATTTTACATTTGACATCAATTCTGCAAAACACAATTTCTATGGAAAGATAATTTAGTCTTTTTTTTTTAACATGACCAATCAAAAAGTGATTATATTTTTATTTTTGTTATAGTTGGGATGCATAAAATACATGGCTGAATGTACAGCCATACCTTAGGCACAGATTTGTGCCCTAAAAACACAGGAATTTTAATAAATTCTCTTTTGTACAATTCCATCAAAAAAGAAAAAAAATGCATGTTGCATTTAAAATTGTACATATTGAATTGTCGAGTATAGTCTTGCTGGTAAAGAACATCTGTTCTGAACAGGCTTCCATAAGAACTGATTTTTTTTTCTATTTATAAATTTATGTATCTGATGTTTGGAAGAATTTTCCACGGACTGATTTTTCTGGTTCCATGCATTTCAAATCTTGTTTCTCCTCCACCACCTACATCCTTCTAGGGCTATTCTAGTACAATATGACCTCTAGCTCCATGCCATAGCATCATGATGTCAGAGAAGTGGCACAGCAGGTGATAGGAATATTGCTTAGAGCCATTCCTACACCAAGACAGATAGCAGCAACTTACGATACATAGAAATGACTGAGAACAACCTAAATATATCCCACTAACTCCAAACTAAATGAGTTCCCCAACTCAACTTCATTTTAGCTGGATGCCAAAAATGCAAGCAGCCATTCCAACACCACCCGACCCAGGAGAAGTGTGACAGAGGGAAAGTCGGAGTAGAAAGGAAGTGGAGTCTGATTGATAACGGTTAGAATATCTTACTTTTACAGACAACATAAATCATTTGACCATGTGAACATATTACTTGGGCCCCTCTCAGAGTCTTTAAAGGGGTCTACTCAAGAGAGCCACCCTGAGGCTGGAGATCTATCAACTTCATGGAAAGTCCGTCTCTGAAAGGGTTCATGGGCTTGTTTCCTGAGCCTTCAGCAAAGGACACAGTTCCATAGTACAGCACAGACACCACAAAATAGAAGAAAACTGGGGAGAGGCATGAGAGGAGGAGATACAGGGAAGCAAAGAGGAGACAAAGAGGAAGGGAGAAGGAAGGAGGGATGAAGGAGGAAGAGATATTGGGCGATGTGACATTTTAAAGCAGGGTACGAAAAATCTTTCATACACCTCCCATCTAGAGGTAGAGTCCATGTCCTCTCTCTTTGAATTCGGGCAAACTCTGACTGCTTTGACCAATAGAGTAAAGCCAAATGAGTCTGTGTGACTTTTAGGCCAGAAAATGTGCAACTCCCACTTGATTCTTCTAGGCTGCCTGTTTGGGGGTACGGGGGAAGCTGCCAGGTCCAACTACCCTGAGGCAGCCATGCTGGGGTGGCCCGTGTAGGTGCTCTGGTTGACAGCCCCAGATAAACTCTACCTGAGAGCCAGGATCAGTTTCCAGCCATGTGAATGAGCTCCCAACCCAACCAAGCCTTCAGATGACTATGGCCCCAGCAGACATCTGGCTGCAACCATGTGAAGACCTCAGGAGAGAACCACCAAGCTGACTCCTTCCCAAATTCCTCACCCACAAAATAGTGAGAAAAATAAAATGGTTGTTTTAAAATGCTAAGTTTTGGGAAAACTTATTCACAGCAATAGGTAGGTAATTGGAACAGATGGGAAGGAAGTGCAAGGAGGGGGAGATGAAAGACGTGGAGAAGTCTGGGGGAAGGAGAAAGGGGTCCCCAAAGGACTGAGCAAGGTAAGAGAGCACCAGGCTTGAGAAGGGAGCCCCACAGCAGGAGGCTTGGTCACCATGATACCCCCAAACCTGGACGTCTCTTTCCAATAAGTTCATCGTCTAGTGTAATTTGAGTCAAGAGGCTCTAAAAAGAGTCGGGGATCCCACTCACTGCTGAGTAACACATTTCCTCTCCTCATCTCTCAGTTTCGTCCTGTTTAAAAAGGGTTGGTTAAACTGATGACTATTTCTGAAAATGCTGTTAGCAAACACCTGTTAGAGTTACCTGGGGGCAGAGGGTGGCTTGTCTAAAATTTGGGTCCTCCAGCTCTAGGAAATTGCCATCTCTAGGAGCAGAGCCCAGGAATCTGCATTTCTAACAAGTACTGCCAAGTGATTTTAAAGTTTCAGAACCTGTGGAGTGGATGATACTTAAAGGCCAATGCATCAGTGGGAAAAAAATTAAAGGCTTAAGAAATCTATTGGTGACCACTCCTGGTTAGAAGGAGATCAGGAGAAAATGTTAGAATCAGTGAAAGTGAGGGAGGGAGTCAGAGCAGGGTCATGCTGAAGATCCCCCAAAACACCGCTAATTTGGCAGTTTTGCAGGGACCATCTAGCCAAGTGGTCCCTGTGTGTGGCGTCACCTGCATTTACATTGCTCTTGCCTCCACACCTCTGTGACAGCTAGTCTGTTCTCCTGGGAAGCCTGTCCCAGTCCTGTGCATCTTTGTGACCCAGACCAAATTACCGAATCATCCTTGGTCTGCATCCTGTGGGAAGAGCACTCATCTGGGAATGAAGAGATCCAAATATGAATCCCAACTTTGCCCATGGTTGATTGTTATGACCTGGTTGGGACAGGGTAGGGTGGAGGGATGATCCTCTCAGGACCTCATTTCCCATCCATAAGATGAAGGTGATGGATTAATAATGTCAAAGAGTACTTTTAAATTTGAAAAAATACGGCAGCTCAGGAATCCTGCCAAATCTGACAAGCACTTAGTGCTTGTCCATCCCATAGGTACCTCTCAAGTCTTGATTGGGGTTGACATACATGAATGACTGGAACAGAGTCATTCTGTCCCAGGGGCCCAGGGACCAAGGTGTTCTTGGCAATGGCCCGAGTGTACCTTGGAGTAGACTGTGTCTGCTCATCTGCTGTGCTCAGGAATGAACTCAGAGCCCTCGGGGTGAGCACAGGGACCCCTCTGCCCTGCAAGGACCTCAGTGGAAAATGCTGTGTTTCTTTGTTGCCAACTATTTGCTCATTACTCTCTGCCCATTAGAACCGAGAGGACACCTAGGGTGGAATCTTTAGGTGTTACTCACGGTGCCATGCAGGCCTCGGCCCCTCATCTTCCCTCCCCTGCTTATTCTCTCCTCAAAGCTGCCTCCAGAGCCAGAAATGCCCAAAGGAAGCTCTGGATGGTTTGGAAACTCAGAAAATGTCCAAACTGAGGGAAGTAGAGAGTTCCACAGCCTCAATAACCCTGTTTTATTTTTTTGTTTGTTTTTTTGTTTTTTTTGTACACATGTACAATTGGAAGCTCCTGGTAGGAAATAGACTCGTCCAAGATCACACAGCAATCAATAGCAAAACTGGAACTAAAATCCAGGTCTGAAGGGTAGGAAGGGGTTGCCAAATCCCACCACCTAGTTAGAAATCAGAGTGGATAAAATGGATATTTGTCATTTTGTTTTTTTAATATTTAGCATCTTAATCTCATTCCTACAGTTGAAGAATTTCCTACCAGGGGAGTCTTGGTGTGAGATAAAAGCAGCATATGCCACTCTAAAAGCTGAAAGAGCCGACTCTTATTCTATCAGTCAGGTGCCAGCAAAGGACACAGAAACCACACTCAGTATTTCAAACAGAGAGGATTTAATTCTGAGAATTGGTTACGTGAGTATTGGGAAGATGAAGGACGGAAACAAGGAGAAGCTGAGGTATCCATCACTTCCGGATTTGGGAGAGTTAAAGATTTGGGGTTACCAGACCTAGGAGCTCACAGAAGGGGCCCAGGCACAGCTGGCACTCACACCCCTGGAAGGACAGAGAGGTGGGGGCTGTGTGGCTGGCATTCAGTCTTCTAAAATGCACTGCAGCTGGTGTTCAGACCTTTGAGGGGGACCTGGCTCAAATGGTGCTTGGTCCACTGGGTCATGGGGCACAGGCAGCTGGTGCTGGTACTTCTGAGGAGGTGCAATGCCTCTGGTTTTAAAAGTGCCAAAAGGATGCAGAGACTGGAGGTGTAACTGTTTTCTGCTGCTGAAGAGCTGCTGACGGGAACCAGAAACAGGAAGAAAAACCCCTTCTCCTCTCACTTCACCTGTCACTTTCCTCTCAGTGTCTCCCATTTACAGATTCCAACCAGATGCAAACTGGCAAAAGAGTGAGGGAAAATTTAGTTTGCAGAGTCCCATTCCCAGCTTCACAGAGAAGAGTAGAGAAGCTGAGAGTCAGTAGGTAATTACTAGCATACTCACTTTCCCAGCCTCTCTTGCAGCTAGGAAATCAGCACTTGTCTTGGGCTCAGCCAATCAGACACTCCCGCCTCAGACATTGAATTGGGAGCTAGTAAGCAAAGAATCAAGGACAATGGAGAATTCATTCTGGTGGCAGCAGCGACAGCAGACAGCCTCATCCTGTTTCTGGGGGCTGTAGTGGCGGGGATTATGGTGATGGCATTGATAGTGCAAGATGGGTACCCAGTGTTCAGTGTTTTGTTGACTGTGGCACTGGCTTTGTAGCCTTCATGTTCCCACCACTCTCCTTGTTTTCCAGTCCTGCTGGTGATCCTATGAACTACCCCAATTTTTAAAAATAAATTTCCTTTCTGCTTAAAATAACTAGAGTTGCATTTGTGTCTAGAAACCCAAACAGATATAGCGAGGATGGCACCTGGAGGGGACTCTAAGCCTAGAAGTCTCA